AACTTAAAGCTTTCATTAAATTCTTTCTTTTATTGAATGAGAACTTAAAATATATAGGATATGCTTACTTCTTACTATAAAATCAGAAGCTGGAAGAGTATGAAAATCTTCTATATATAAAAGACTATGGTTTTGCTGGCTCTATACACTGCTTAATTGTTGCTGATATTTGGGGAGGCTAGATCTGGTAACTTCTGATATTGTCTTATCTGCATCTGTGTAGTCATATTGAAATACTGATAACAGTGGAAAAATTAATTTGCTTTCACTGTTGTGGGGTTTGGATTGGGTTTTTCTTTTCTGTTGTATTTTTTGTGTCTTATATTCTTGACAAATATTTCCAAAATTGTAAATCAAAAGTTATAGGATAGAAATACCCAACTCCTGCATCAGTGAGAACCGTTTCCCTCTGCTTTTCCTATTTTGATTAGTTTGAAAGATCTGAAAAAGGGAGATAGAAAAAAAACTACTCTTGACATTTTCTTACCGATGTAAAACTTGCACTGAAAACTGGCTAGTTGTGTTTTGTTTAACAAAAGGAACTTTCAAGCTGCTTTTCTGTTATGCTTCATGGGCAATTTCTAGCTGCAGTCTAGCTTGTGTAGTTAGGTGTTTTGTTAGATGGATTGGTTTGCTTTACATTCCTTAGTGATCTAGCATTTACCTTGTGTTTTGCATCTAGTTTGGAATTGATTGTATTTGTGCTACATTTCAATGTAATTTCCTTCATCTGGTGGAGATAGGCTCTTTATTCATGATGATATTAAAGGCAGGTGCAGTAGTTGCTTGGCAGAGCAGCCTGTGGAGCAGTTCCTGTGCCCTGCCTAAGCCATGGCCACCAGTGCTGACCAGGGAGCATCAGGGGAGGCTGGCTGGTGGCTGCTGAGGTGTGGCTGGGCTCCCCACAGCAGTGCTGGTAGAACCTTCTGTGCCACTTGCACTGCAGCTGTGTATCATCCCTTCTCCTAAAATGGCTTCCAAACCCTTCACTGAGTGGATAGTGACACTTTTCTTTGGTGCAGGCTTACTGTTCTGTCATAGTTTAGTGTTAAGGTCTTGCAGTGTGTGATCCCATTAACCTCTCTCATGTGTCTGAAGGAAACCAGTTCAGTAGCTGTGAAGAAGCTGGGGAAGCATTAAAAGCTCTTCACTTAGCTTCTCATTTAGCTGATGCAGTTTGCAGCAAGGAATAATACATGGTGCTGTCAGCATGGTGTTTTTATTACCACCTTTTCTTACCACAGCCTTTAAGAGCTTTTTGATCACAGCGGACTGCCCCAGGTATTAAATGCGTTGCTGTTCTTTGGGGCACCTAGTTAACCTCATGTTCCTGTAGAGTATTAGGTGTGTGATTTCCTGTGCATGTAGAGCCCATGAAAGTATGAAACCACTGGAGTGGGTTTGTAGATGTGTCTTTGCTTTGGCCTTGAATTGTTGTTGTTGCTTTTACAGGAGAGGCAATATTCTGTGGAGTAGTTATTACTTGCTCCTGTGCAAATCCCTTGCACAAGCAAAATATATCCAATGTCAGTCTGGGTGTACCTGACACAGCAGAGTGGTAACTGGTTTAAGTTTGAACTACAAAATTCCTGTGGAGGCTGATTACTTCTATTACTCTTGCACCATTTGCAGTGCTGAATATAAATATGGTAATATTGTACACTTGAGAGAATATACTGGTTTCCCCAAAAAGGAATTTCTGCTGTAAGGTTTTACAGCTGTGAATTGCTTCTGCCTCTTGATGGCTGACACTGACTTTCTGTTTAGGAAAACATAGGAAGACTGGAAGAGATGTGGCTATCAAAGTCATTGACAAGATGAGATTTCCAACTAAACAGGAAAGTCAGCTTCGTAATGAAGTAGCCATACTCCAGGTATGAAAGTGTTTTGGGATCATGTTGGACTTTTGTCTTAACTAGAACATTAATGAGATTTTGAATGGTGTGTAAGTGTTCTGAATTGATTTTTAAATTTATATCTGTGAGTACTTTCGGAAGAGGGAATCCTATAAAAGCAGGAACTCCTGAGTACTTGGTAGAGTTGATAACTTGGGGATGATATCTGCCCCACTGTAGGGAATCTCACTAAAGGCATGTACTTTGGCTTCGTGTTTTCTCCCTCAGTTTTATTTTCTGCTGTTTTCCACTACTGGCTTCTCAATCTTTGAGTATTGTTCTTATACTCTGTAACTTGAGTGCAGAACATGCATCAATGTTAAAATTAATTGTTGCAGCTAATTTGTGTTAAACAAGTTATCCTTAGTAGTTGACATGTTTCATGTTTGGACGTTGGTTTCAAGCTAGTTTCCTCAGATTTTTTTTTTCACCTCTACCTATTTAACTGATTTTTTTATTTGTGGTCAGCATTTCTGTGTAATTCAGGATATTTCATACTGTTTTATTTTAGTGATGTGCCTATACTACTTTGTTTTAGAATTTGCACCACCCTGGGATTGTGAACCTGGAATGTATGTTTGAAACCCCGGAACGTGTCTTTGTTGTGATGGAAAAGCTGCATGGGGATATGCTAGAGATGATTCTCTCCAGTGAGAAAAGTCGACTTCCAGAACGAATAACTAAGTTCATGGTCACTCAGGTGCGCAGTCAGTTCCTCTGCTTTGAGAGGAAAAGCTAGGTTAGGATTTTGTAATTACGAGATGAGAATTTGGAGAAGGGGTTTTCTGTATTGCTATTTGAAAGAGACAGCATAGAGAGCTCCACATATAATAAAAATTGAATAAACAAGAAGTTTGAATGTTAATTGTGTTAATTCTTTTGGCCCTTCTTTCCCAAGACATAACATTATAGACATGTAAAGATGAATGTCAGAACAGTAAGCATTCAAAAAGACAGAGGAGGAGGAGGAAAAAAAGGTTGGGGAAAAGAAACCCCCTTGTTTTCAAGTCTTGGTAGACTTGAAAAAACAGTACTTGCACAGTAAATATGGGTTAGTTCTTAAGGACTATGTTGATAAAAATTGCTGTATTGGTTAGAGTGTGTCTTTTGACACTTCTGATCTGCTTGAATGTGTTCTGAAAGTGTTCTTTCGTTTTGTAGATACTTGTTGCTTTAAGGAATTTACACTTCAAGAATATTGTGCACTGTGATTTAAAACCAGAAAATGTACTACTAGCATCAGCAGAACCATTCCCTCAAGTGAGTGAAGATTAAACAATACTTTTCATTACTATTCATTGGGTTTTTTTAAAGCAGGATTGATACTGCTGCTTAAAAAGCGACCTCTTGTGGGATTTTCAAGTGACTTCTAGACTTACTTGAACTGCATTATTGTATTGCAGTTGTCTCTTTTTTTTTTCTCATCGCACCAAGTGCTTTTAGTGCATTGTTCTTTCTTATTCTCTGAGGAGGGCTTATTGACTTGGGGTCACATGATGGACTTGATCTGGATCCTTTTATCTCCACAAGTGCCTGCTGTGTTCAAGTTAAGGAACTGTTGCATGATCATGAGGATTTGAGCATTGGTGCATATGCCAGCTGTTAATGCTTTTTACTGGGATGTTCTGTCAAGAACTGTCTGGGTCTGAGTTCAAGCTAAAACTCATTGTTTGATTTCAGTGTAGACAAAGCCTCCAGCTTCTGGAATATGATTAAGAGGAATATGATTCGGCTGGGATTCATTTGTGTTTTAAACTTTGGTTCCGTGCTTTTCGAGAGGGAGGATTCACCTCTGAAAATGAGCTGGATGAGATGGAATCAAGATATTTTTTCCTTATTTGCACACTTGTGGCCATGTAATACACGAACAGCCTCAGACACGAGTCCATGCAGGGCCAGTTCAGATCTTGATCTGAAGTGCGGCTGATCTGCATGCTGCAAAGCCAGCAACCTAAAACCTTAATGGACTGGTTTACATGGGGTTTTGTGTCTGTTTGCATAACATGCCATGTTTAAGTGATGGCAGAAAGGGAGTGAAGTCAAGCAGAGATTTCTCAGTTTAAAATGTGCTGCTTTTGCAGGTGAAGCTGTGTGATTTTGGCTTTGCACGCATCATTGGTGAGAAGTCTTTCCGGCGCTCTGTGGTGGGCACTCCTGCGTACCTTGCCCCTGAAGTGCTCAGGAGCAAAGGCTACAACCGCTCCCTAGACATGTGGTCAGTAGGAGTTATTGTCTATGTGAGCCTCAGTGGTACATTCCCATTTAATGAAGATGAGGATATCAATGATCAGATTCAAAATGCAGCATTTATGTACCCACCAAATCCTTGGAAGGAAATTTCTAGTGAAGGTAAAGAATGAATTTTCTCTATTAGAATGTTTGTGTGTGTAGGTAACACATTCAAATGCTTAAACATCAAGGTTCATTTAGGAAGGTGAAAATTATTGATAGCTGGAGTTTAGTAGACTATGCCAAAGTGGATAAATATGAGGTAAATGTATTTTTGAAAGATAAATCATGAAATATAATGCTTTAGATCATCTTCAGGGCAGGGGAGTCAGGAGATTTAGCAAGAAAAATTAATTTCATGCATGATGGGTGGGATGAGTAGTCTGACACTTCCCAGAAGTCCCAAAGGAAAGTTAATTCATTTGTGGGTATTTGCTGAATGCTGGCATATTTTATCTGAACTACAATCACAGAAATGGTTCAAAGTTGAATCTGGAATTCTAGTTTGTACATTAGGAAGTACAGATTTAAGGGTCAGGTCTAAACAACCTAGAGGTTTACAAGGCTGGTCTCTAGAGCTCTCCAGTGCCAGCTTTGGTTATATGTTGTTACCATGTTTGAGTAACACACAGGTAGATGTGGAAGGATATATACAAAAGTACACAATAGTGGAAGTACTTGTATCATTGTGGAACATGGGATTATGCTCTTATCTGAAATCACTAAAATTAGTAGGGGAAAAAGATTAACCAATAACACAGTAAAGCTTTTAGTATTTCCATCAAAAGTAGAGGGAACTTACTCCATCCTTATTTTGTAGCCTTATTTAACATTAAGCAAAATTAAAAATTCAAGAGCTTGGTTAAATTTAAAGGAGTTCATTGGAGGATACACTCACACATAAAAAATTAATTTCTACTGCAGCATGTGAAAGATGAGAGAAGTGATTAGTATTTAAACATTATAATTTTTGTTGTTCTTTGTCAGCCATTGATTTAATAAACAATTTGCTTCAAGTGAAGATGAGAAAACGTTTCAGTGTCGACAAGTCTCTTAGTCACCCATGGTTACAGGTAAACCCTCCTGCCTTTTTTGCTGTGTTTATGATGGGTGAATATTTTTTTGTCTGAAATCCTTCAGAGGCTTATGAAAACTGCAGCTGTTACATGCTGCTAACAAGCATTCATGAAGGCTGGAATATTTCTGGTTTTAGCTTTGCATTTGATGTGCTCCAGGGTTCTGACCATCTGTGAATGGCTCTTTCCTCAAGGGAAATTTGTCCTACTGTCCCTCCCACCTTTTCCTGTCTGTCTGACAACAACATGGGTTTACTCTCCTGGCTTCCCCCCAACTGTGGGCAGTGCTGGGTGCATGGAGCCCTGTGAAATCAGCATGGAAGCAAACACTGTTCAGTGCTGAAGTGGAAACACAGCCTGGTGTGTGCGCCATAACTTGTAGTCTGTTTAGAACAGGTTTGTTTGGAATGGATTTTATCTGCTGCTTTGGCAACCTTAGATACTAGCCTGTTTAGTTTTGAACTATTCTTTGTGGACGGTGTTGGGGCATATTGTGGGAGGGTATTTGGTTTTGGTTTTATTTTTATTTTTTTTTTTTTTAACAGATCTTGTTGTTTTTTACACTAGAGACAAATTGCAGAATTTATCTGTGGGAATGTAGTGCAGGTGTTTCTTAAAACTGCTTCCTTAAATCTCCTTTACTCCTTAGGATTATCAGACTTGGCTTGACCTCAGAGAATTTGAAACACGCATTGGAGAGCGTTACATTACCCATGAGAGCGACGATGCACGCTGGAAAGAACACGCTTACGAACACAACCTCGAGTACCCCCAGCACTTCATTATGGCTCCTAATCCAGATGACATGGAAGAAGACCCTTGAACTGTTCATTATGCTAAATTGCAGTAAAGAAGGATATGCCAGGCAGAAACTGAAGCTAAGTTTTGGAACAGCTATTGCTCTTTCCAAATGCTGCACACACAGTTTGCTGTGTAAAGCCCCAGAGGATCCTGCATTGCCATGGGAATACTGTCATCTGCTTTTCTCCATCCCTGACTTGAACTCTGAGTGGTTACTGGACAGTGGGATAAAAAACCCTGTTGGGTAACATTTCATTGAGCTGGGTGGCTACAAAGCCATTACTGAGGAGCAGTGTGTACAGACTGAATGGTTGGTGTTCTTCAAGGGCTTTTGTTTTTTTCATAGCCTATGCAGTAAGAGTTTTGTACTAGTTTTCTAATCCCTATTTACTAGGCCATAGAGGACTGTTTTCTGTTGCTTAGATACATCTCCTGTTTCTCAAACTGTGGATGGTGAAGAGACTCCATAAAGAAAACAGTACAGAATATCTTGGCTAAAGCAAAACTGGGTGGTTTAGTTGAATACAGCTTCATAGATGAAGGAATGATTTGCTGCTGTTTAGACAGTTAAATATGTGTGTCTTGGCCCTAACTGAACTTTTTACAGATAGCAACAAAAAACACAAAAAAAAGCCAAAAAAACCCCTGTAACTTCTTACATTCCTCTTGAAATGCTAGCTGACAGTCTGAGATGACAATCAAAGCTGTGCTAGGCTTTTATTTTGTCTGTTAAAAAAAGCAGTAAGCCACAATAGTGTGCTGCTGGGCAAGGCTGGCACGTCATTGATACACACCTAAGGCATTTTGCCTTAAAACTACACAAGTAATGCAGAGAGAGCACACAAGACTTGATGTAGCATATTCTTTCACTCTGGAAGATCAGCTTCTAGCAGAAGGATGTGGAAAAATAGGGAAAAATATATGCAGCTTTCTTCTGTCGTTTGAGTAATAAGATTTTAAAATTTTTCTAATTTTTTAAGGTTCCCTGGACTTACATCAGGAGTAGTTTGTAGCCTGCTAGCTTGTTAACTCTGCTCAAAACCTGGAAGTAACAGTGGATACCACATCACCTGTTGCTTCTGCCAGGGCAGCTGGATTGTAGGAGAAAGGACTTTGCCTTCCCACCTTAACCTGCAACCCCTCCCATCCTCTTTACTGTGCTCAGAACTGTTTGAGCTGAATGAACAGTCCAAAAGCACCTTCTCAGTTTTTTCTGTGCACATGCCTCAATTGAAGGATTCCCACACACTGACCGGACTTGTGGCACAATAGAGGGGTAATAGAGCAGTGTTCTTTGGAAATTATTCCCTTGGAAAGTTCAAGTTAATGGTATTTCAAAGAAGTTTGAGGCAAATTTAAATTGTTTAAATGCAAATGGAAGAGAGTTTTTTGTTTTAAAAACCAAAAAGGGTGAAATCCTTTTTTTGTGGGATAACAGTGTTGAGGTGCTGGATGGCTGTATTGCATCCCTGATGTGCCAAGCTGCTTAACTAGAGCTTAGTTGGAAGTTTTTCCAAAATACTGATACAGGCTTGAGAACTGCAAAGGCAGTGAGAGGCTTTTGGGTATCTCCTCTCTCCTACAAAGATTTTTCTTTTTTTATTTGTGTATAGATTTTTTTTTTTTTCTACTGTTATTCAGGTAAGGAAACAGGTGAGGAGATTTTTAAGTTGTTAGATATACCTAAAATGTTACATGGTTAGTTCAGAGCTGGCAGCTACTTGCAGTAGCAGTGGTCAGTGGCAGCTGCAGAAGGATGTGCCCACAGGTAGGTTCGGGTCTCTAACTCACTCTTCCTTTTTCCATTGCCCTTTATCTATCTGCCACTGCATTTTGTAGGTGTCTGTGTTGGCAAAGGCTGAGATCTGGATTCTTAACCGTTTAGGGAGGGTTTCAGGACTGATTGTTCAAAGAGGCACTGCTTTTCACATCTGTAACCAGAGCAATCACCTCTGACATTGGTAGTTTGGTATTTGCCTGCTCTTGGCAAGGAAAGCAGTGCTATTTTTCAACTTCCAGTGCTCAAGTGACCAAATTTCAGTGAAGTCATTGCTATATTCCATCCTAACTGTAATAAATTAGATACAGTTTGGTTTTAAACTTCAGGTTTTTTTTTTACTTGAGCTGTTACTGTGTTATTTTAAGGGAGGAAATAAAGCAGCTCAGTCACTTGAAAAAGCACAACAGGAATAGAGGAAGGAGGGGAAAATACCGAAGTAGAAGGACTGACTTTTGTCTCTCCCCATGAAGTCTGCTCTGCTTCAAAATATTATATGAGCTATTTATTCTTCAAGTTGTATTAAAAATAATGCTGTTGGCCTTTGGAGGAGATTGCCTGATCACATGCAGACTTATGGGGCCAGACAATAGAAGCCACAAGCAGCTAGTAGTCAAGAAACCAAAAAAATCAGACTTATATTATGAGTAAAATTCCTAGAGTAGTAAAAATAGCTGAGTTTTTTACTCCCTTTTTTCTGCCTTTACTGCAGACTTTGACAGCAGTAGGTTACAGTGTTTAATACCCTTACCCCTAGAAGAATTAAGTTGCATTCATTCAAGCAATAGTGCTATGGTGATGCTAGAAAAAAGCTCATGTAAAATTTATAGCCTCAAAATGACACTGTCAAGTACTTTTATATTTTTATACACCCCATTGTTTGTAAATATCCTCTGTTAAGCTTGAAAATAAAATTTATTTCCCTATCAGACTTCTTTTTATTGATGTGAATTATCTCTCCTATCAAATGTTCTTGGGAGTAAATGGCTCTATATTTTCTTGTTTGTGGATTTGTTATTAGATTATGTCCTGCTGCAGAAATTCTGCTGGCAGGAACTCCTTTTACATGCATCCTGTCACTATTCTCTTTATAAAATTATCTTCAAAGGTGTCAAGGCATCTCGATTTTATTCAAGTACCAAAGCTTGAACATATTTAAAGACTCGTTATGGTATTGAGTAAGTTTTGATTCCACTAGTAAATATTTCACTCAGTTCTGTCATAAGACCCCTAAAGCATTGTTCATTCTCTGCTCTGTTGTGTGCTGGTTTCTTTATCTGCAATGTTTTATTTCCACTCATACTGCTTTAAGTAGGTCAGTCAAGAGGTTTGGTGTGCTGCACCAGACTTATTCTGAAACAGCCATCACACGTTTTGCAGCAGTATTTGAAATTACTTTAGTAAAAGTTCATTAAATCCAGCAACAGGTGGTAGGGGAGACTTCGATTCTGGCTTATCTTTCTTGTCAGGATGTACAAATCTGTGGTGAGGCAGCAGGGCAAAAAAATTAAAACAGTCCCCCATCTTCTTGGGATTCATCAGCATATCATAGCTGTGAAGTAACTGCTCACGAGTTGCTGTGTCACCTGAATTCTGCAAGAGAACCTGGAAAAAAAAAAAGCAGGTTGAGCCCTTCCTGCATACCTGCAATCTCTTCTTGCATCCTTTTCACTTAACAGTACTGTGATGGTTGGCAGAACTGGTGAGATCACAGGTGGTGGTCCACAGCCCATACACTGATGCAAGTTTTCCATTAACTGCTCCCAAATATTATATGATCATTTTACTTTCAGGGATCTGGAGTAACTAACATGTAGCAGAAGCAACTTTCTGATCTCATAACTACATGTTATTTTGAACAACTTCATTTTAAACCCAAAGATTTTTACTAAAGCTGTCATGCTGCTCAAGAGTATTGCCTGTGGACTGGGAGAGTTCTGTAGCTGTGAGCACTCTCGTACCTGCAGTCGGAGGTCAATGCCCATGTTCTTCAGAAACTCCCGCTGCTTTATGGGGCCTAACGTGGCTGTTTTGCCCTGTGCCATCTTTCGAAGGTAGCTGAAATCAACGTCTGCTGTCAGGTCTGCTGTGCCTGGAGCACTCAGCACATCATGAAGTTTGTGATTCCTGAAACCCTGAAAATGAAATTGGAACATTACACTCAGCTGTAGTCCAACCATCATAGCCAGCAAAAATTAAGGTGTGCCTTTGAGGGGTGACAATAGCAAATTATACATGGAAACTTTGAGATAAATGGAGCAAGCGCTCAGATTACCCTTTCCATCTGACAGAAACCCTTCTGGGTGCTGATTAAATAGGAATTACTCAGTTTTAAGCAGTTTTTGCTATTATGCCCACCTATGAACTGTATCTTACAAGAACCTAACCATCAAAGATAACAAGAGTCTTTTGGCTTATCGCTGCAGGGCAAATGCCTTACCCTGAAAGTGTCTGTTTTGGTTCCATCGTGGCCATAATCTGCAACCAGAGCAGCCCCCCCATCCTTCTCTATCCGGCAGGCAAGCCTCTGCACAATGGCACCAGCCTCAGGACACACTTCCACGTGGTCTCTTGTTTCTTCTGGCTAGTGCAGAGTTCAAAGACCAGAACACCTGTATTAGCAGACAAGCACAAAGCAAGTATCCCTCACACTTGGTGTCTTGGGGCTGCTGCTTTGCTGGGACATGCAGGTACAGGAGGTGATTTCTAGGCTACCTATACTAGCTTGAGCTAGTTTTTGCTATCACTCATTCTCAATTAGTATTTTCTGAGTGCTGGATTTCAGTCACCTCTTTAATAACCTGTAGTCAAATGAAAATTTTTTTACCAAGAGATCTGTATCATGTGAAACTTTCTTACTGTGGTACTTCAGGAAGATAGTGCTGTGTGAGACTTAGTAGCTCATATAATCTCTGGTACTTAATTAGCTTTGGGTATCCAGTGCACTTCAGGAAGAAACCACAGCCACTTCCTGTTAAAGGTCAGCCTGGCACAGAAGCAGGCAGCTGCCCTGAGTACCCTTCAACAGGCTGAGAGCCTGGCTGGGGCAGGGCCACTCTTGAGATGGTGATGCCACACACACAGTGCAGAACTCTGCCTGTCACTTGCTGCCTTGGTTTGCTCTCTGAGACATTTTGTGTGTTCAAGCTCCTATTTTGCAAAGTTTGATACTCGTGGTAATTTCTGTGCTGTAGTTTCACAGCACACAAAGCTAAATGCTTGTGGACATTTTAAGCTCTATTCATTTATAGACTGAGAGCCTCTTGCTGTCAGAGTAACTGAGAAGCACTACTTGTACTTGAAAGAGTCAATAAAGGTGTAAGGATGAGCTCTGGTAGGCAGAAACTCACCTGAATAAAGTTTTGTGTCGCAGGGGTCCTGGATGGTGACAGGACAAACCGCAGCTGGTCAGGAACTTCTGGATCAATATCCACCAACACCTCACGCCAGCCCTTCTCCGTTCGCTGTTCAATGAGCCCAAAGTACTCATGTTACACTCCAACAGGTACCACAGTATCCTCTTCATCTGATTGAACTAATATGTCAAGCCTTTTCACAAAGGGTTTAGGAGCAATACATTATTAACCACTATTACTCATTCTTATTTAATTCCAGTAACTGCCTTAGAAAAAGCTTGTGGTGGAGTCTCATTTGCAGAGCCAACAAATACAGGTTTAATTATACTTTAAAGGAATTAATGATGCTCTGAAAAAAGATGCTGCCTCTCCTATTGACAGTGCAACATTCAACTTATCAAAATAAAAGATTTCATTCTACTGGTGATTTCCATAAATTATCTACTTCTGAATCATAACTAGGCTCTATTTTGCTGTTCTCGTTACTATTCAAATGAAAGCCCTTGTTTTTTGTTAGTAGTATTACAGAAAATCATGTAGAAATTAAAAGCTGCATTAATGTAGCATAAGAAATAAAAAAACCCAAAACCTTAAGAGTTTTCTCAGCAGAAAGAAATCTTTATCTTTCTTCAAGTTATATTCAATTATAATTTATATTATATTGTATTATTATATTAGGAATTTAATATATATATATATGCTCAATTCAGTTATATTTCTTATTCTATTCTATTGAGTTATACTCAATAATAATTACTAATTTTACTGTTATCAGCTGAATTAAGCCTTATTTGTCCAAATTCAGTTAGAATTATTTAATCATCAGAGACAGGGCATATGTCTGGTCTGGTACCTTAATTCTGTTCTTCCTCAAAGAGAAAAGGTGTTTAAGCAGATGGTCACAATTACAATAATAATCTTGCTATACCTGAAACTTATGTATTGGCAGGGCATCAAAGAACTCATGTGCTAAGTAAAAGCTGTAACCTGTGGGAAGGTAAAAAAATAATGCATTAAATTACTAAGGCTTCCAGAGCAGCTTCCAGTTTAAAGAATTTTTGATTTTTAATGAATTAAGCTAGTTAATGTGGTTATGAAATAATTATAATTACTTCCACTTGCACACATTAAAGATACCATTTCTACAGCTAGCTCTGGCTTCCAGTCCATGAATTTTAGATCACTGTCTTGTGAAAGGAGATTCGGCCAAAGCCAGTAAAGGTTTGGGTTTTTTTTTTTTCCCCCATTAAAAGTCAGAATATAGAAAATTGGGTAGCTATCCCTAAATGGAGGTAGACAGAACAGATGGCAGTGATGAAAATGAACCAAGATCCTGCCTCAGACTCATACAAGTAAGAACAAATATGTATATAACTACTTTTCTGTCCAATGTGAAGGCTAGCAGAGATGCCCTCTGCTATCAAAAGCTGTCAGTGAAGGACAGGCACCATCCCTTCAACAAGGCATTCAAGCTCCTTACCTGGTGGCACATCTTGAATGTCTCTGTACCAAAAAATGGGAATTCCAGTCTTGCTAATGCCTTTCATGTAAGCAGACTCATCCTCAGGGTTTGGCTGCACCGTCCCTCCTGTCAGCATCACTGCTTGGATCTCACTGAGCTTGGGGCTCACTTCTACCAGATGAACAGAGACATCACATTTACTAAGAACAGAGGTGAGCTGCTTGAAGACCTATAAAGGCAGATGAATTCTATTAGCCACAGTCTTCTGCTGAGTAAATTAAAGGTTTAAGTATTAAACCTCATTATCATCAGTATTCTCACTATTTACTATCCACTATTAATTATTCAAGATAAAAGATTTTAGTTGGCTTTCACTAACAAAACAATCTCAGTGAGAGAGACTGCATTTTTCTCCTTCAGTAGGAAGTGTGAGTTTCTTCATAAATCTTAATAAAAGCTGCTACACTTCAAAAAAAAAATGGCTACACATTACAAGGCTGTAAAGTCAACAACATGAAATGATAATTAGGAAGAGTTGTAGCAGCTCCTCTAAGACCTATAGAAGGTCTAGCATTAGGAGTGAAATGGTTCCGTTTTCCCTGCCACCTTAAACAAGTGTTTGATATCCCACATTTCACTGTTTTCATTAACATATGTAAATAGAATAAAAGTTCTTGTGTGGTGCTAAATTCCATTGGTAATCTGTTTATTAATCAGCTTGTTAATTAAGACAGCCATGCTTTGAACACAAAGCATTAACTCAAAAGAAATAAGGCCCTGAAATGCCCAAACACAATTTCATTCTGTGTTACTGTACTCCCCTGTTCTGCTCTCTGCACTAAGGTTTCCATCCCAGTTACATATAGCAACACCTTCCTAGATGGTTTTCAGTTTGGATAACGTTTCTCTACACAGAAATAATTTCCAATGGAATATTCCTGCCTTCCCCTTTTGTCCAGTCGTGTTTGGAAGGTCACAGGTGTGTCTGTGCAGAGTAAACACGCTGGCCCCTGTTCTGCTTCCACCTCAGAGCTCTGAGTCCCAGAAACTCATCTATTCTAATTAGAATCTGAGCTGCCAACCTGACTGATCTGGCTACTAGGGCAAAACAGG